CACACACACACACACACACACACACCATGTTTACATTACTTCAGGGGACATTACATTGACTTACATGCATTTCCTGGAGACTTATCCTCACCTTAACCTGTTAAGCCCTGAGCCTGTTTTTCAGGTCTCAGGCTCGAAAATGACATTCCCAGAACAAATGACCATATCTTCCCTTCTAAAAGGGTTACATTAATAATCTTTTTTCTCAAAGTAATGATAAACCTGTGTGTTGGATGTAGAAAAGTCAGAATCAATATAGATGTTTTTTATTTTAAAGAAAATTCAGATTGAACATAATAAAAAACTGTAAATTATAGTGTCCGTCCAAAAATAATTTTTTACTTATAGTGAAAACTACCCTTGGATGATGGGTTAGTAGACTAAAAGCTTTAGGAATCCAAAGTACAACATATAATAAGTACCCTGTATCAAGATTGATGCAAAACAAGTGACATTTGACCTTTTTAGAGAGATTTAGCAAAAAGAAACCACTTCTGGGGTCATTTGGGTGGATTTTCCATATCTCTGGCTTCCCTTGCTCGATTTTGATGGTTGACACCTCTTTCTGACCGTTAGAGCCAATAGAATCCAAGGGGGAGTCCCCCACACACACACGTTGTGAAGAGAAAAGGTGGGGGCTTTGCGCATGCAGTTTTGCATCAGAGCGAACCTATCTTTAGCTCTGACATCTGGAAACGGAAAAGCAGTTTTAATGCTTATAGATTATCAGAAATCATTTCAAAGGGACACAGACACATTAGATTAACCTATGGATTAACTTCAGCAGCGTTTTTATCGTTTTAATGCCATTGAAGACCACTTTGGAGAGACTACAGAGCCAAGGTAAAAATGTTAGCATTTTTAGCTACCTAGCGTCACCTGTTTTGATGTCCGTTTTTGCTTATAACGTCGCAAATACGTATAATTCAGTGATAATGAGGGTACCCATCGATTCTGTGTCACCTCACGATGTGAATCGATGTCATGGATGTAGAGAAGAGATAAATAATAAGGTTTTGTGAGTGATTTTCGGTGCAGTAATCTGTTAGCATTTTTCGCTCGTTGCTAATTCAGAGGCTCAGTGTTAGCATTGTGGGTTTTCTTTTGAAAAAAATGATCAGTTAGATGAGTTTCTTCCCGTTACATGGATATAAAACATTCATAGTTTATTAAATGAACATGCCCTCAGACACTGTTTCCTGCAAGATGTTGCGGCAGTACCCCGGTACCGGGGTCTCTCGGGCTTAACAGGTTAACCATAACCAACACATGCCTAACCCTAACCCTTACCCTAACCCTTGACCTTAACCCTTACCCTAAACCTAACACACACACACACACACACACACACACACACACACACACACACACACACACACACACACATAAGATAAAGTACAAATGCAGTACTCCTACAGTTTGTTCCTCATGTTTTCTCAGCTGCTTGTGCCAAAGAAATTCTCATGAACCTCCCAGTACAGTACAAGGCAAGGACACAGATAAAACATAAAAGAGCGGGTTTGGATGCATTTAAGCAGAGTGTTGAAGGATGTATTTGGTTTCAAATTATGTATTATTTTTGCTCATACCTACACACTCCCACATACATGTTACCATTTACATTTTAATTGGGATATTGTATCACGGGCAGCAGGATGAAGCTGAGAGTTGTTGAATTTATTATTTGGGTTAGTACATGGTAACTTGTCAGAAACTCCTGTTTTTTGCTGCTTCCTTAAATACAGAAAATATCTACTGATTGACCTTTCCTCCAATTTATTCTATTAATAAAATATTCACTGCTCCTCCAAGATGTAAATGAATGCAGATTTAAAGGCAGACAGATACAATAAATCAGGGTTTTTGATTAAACAACAACAGATTCAAATATGAGAAGATGTTGTTTTAGTTCAAATCTGATTAAATTCATTATTCAGATTTATGCCATTGACATTTTTTGATTTGATACTTTGGCTGCTCCACACTTCCGTAATGTCTTTATATATAAAAGTTGGATATTTGGAAGTCCATGATAAAGTAAAAGTACACTTATTCTCTCAGTGGAAAAACAGCAAACAAGGGGAGGCGTGGGGGAGCAACAAGTAGGTACGAGGAAGTGATAGAGGACACACCTGGGTGTAACCATCACTTTATATATAGATGTAATAATTATTTAGAGAAGTAAAAAGAAATAGGGAAATTAAGACAAAAAAAAATAAAAATACGATCAATACCATATTTAATCTCTAAAATGAAATTAATATTTTGTATGCTTATACCCTGAGTTAATGTTTCCTAAAAAGCACAATCAGAGACTATATTTGAATATATAATTATATCAACATACCCCACTAATTTAAGAGAAAACAATGTATACAATGACCGGGCCAAATGCAATTCAGAGCCTCTTGACAACACTGAGAAAATAAATATGTCCATTATGTGACTGTGACCTGTCTGACCTCAGCTGGACTTCTGGCTCAGCCCGGTCTCCATGGAGCTGCCCGTCGACATCAGAGTGCCGAGCTCCAGCCTGAGCTCTGTGAGCGAGATCCTGAACGCCAACAACATCGCCTACTCCGTCCTCATCAACGACCTGCAGGTGTGTGTGTGTGTGTGTGTGTGTGTGTGTGTGTGTGTGTGTGTGTGTGTGTGTGTGTGTGTGTGTGTGTGTGTGTGTGTGTGTGTGTGTGTGTGTGTGTGTGTGTGTGTGTGTGTGTGTGTGTGTGTGTGTGTGTGTGTGTGTGTGTGTGTGTGTGTGTGTGTGTGTGTGTGTGTGTGTGTGTGTGTGTGTGTGTGTGTGTGTGTGTGTGTGTAGGTCATCCAGATTAAATGATGACCGTGCTAAATGTGAGTTCCCCTGTCTGCCATATTCAGGAGCGTCTGGATGAGGAGAAGTTCGAGATGATGGAGAACCACATCAAGGAGCGCAGCGGCAGCAGCTTCAACTTCGGAGCTTATCATCGTCTGGAGACGGTAAAGATTATTATACAAACACAAAAGTTACTCATGACTCCAGATTAAGATTATCAATGCCTTTGTAACCACAAAATTGGATTACTGCAACGCTCTTTACGTGGGTATGGACCAGGCGTCAATTAGACGCCTGCAGCTAGTGCAGAACGCAGCAGCACGTCTTCTTACTGGCCACAAAAAGCGTGACCACATCACCCCAATTCTGGCCTCACTGCACTGGCTTCCAATTCGGTTCAGAATTGATTTTAAAATCCTTTTATTTGTTTTTAAAGCCCTAAATGGGCTGGCTCCGGCCTATATTTCTGAACTGCTCCATCGCTACACCCCAGCCAGAGCTTTAAGGTCTGCTGACCAGCTGCTGCTGGTAGTGCCCACCAGGCTCAAAACCCGAGGGCACCGAGCCTTCGCAGCAGCTGGTCCTAGGCTCTGGAACACTCTGCCCCTCCATGTGAGGTCGGCCCAGACCCTAGGGGTTTTTAAATCAACACTAAAGACTCACTTCTTCTCCCTGGCCTTCTAGTTAGAGCGGAGTACGACTCCTGACATTTCCCTGTGTTTGATTTTTATATTTGCTGTTGTCATTTATTGTCTTCTGTTTTTGCGATTGAAGTAATGTGTTATTTAATATTTGCATGTACAGCACTTTGGCTCGACCAAAAATCGTTTTAAAATGTGCTTTATAAATAAAACCTGATTTGATTTGATTTGAAGAGAAAAGACAACTTTGTTGAAAAATCTAAAATAAATTAATCAAACCTTTTTTTTTTACAATTGGCTATCATGTTTGTAAAAAGACAAAAAAATAATGAACTTGCAATTTGAAAATGAAATGTATTTGTATTTAATGTAGAGAGTAATGTTTGTGCATCAAGGTAAACAGATACAGTGTGGCACTGACAGTAAATCATGAGGAAACTTAACTTGAGGATGAGAAATGGAGCAGAATTAAGTTAACATCAATTGCTTTTTTAATAACTAATAGTAACCAGAGATTGTATTAGATGTATTAAATTATTCTGTGCAACAGCAGTTTAGTCTAATGTGCCTTTCTTCAACTAGTCAGGTCATTATTTATTAGCCTACCATGTGTACAGATTGCACAGCACATCTGGAGTACTTTGTGTTTACATTGGTGTGTATTGTAATGTCTCCCTGCAGATCTACAGCTGGATGGACACTCTGGTGTCTGAGTACTCCACTCTGGTCACCAAGCTGGAGATCGGGAGGTCGTATGAGAACAGGCCCATGTACGTGCTGAAGGTAGGACAGCCTCAAACAAGACATCAGGAGTACATGTTGGACCTGTGTCAGGGTCACATCTTTACTACATTATTCTGACAGCACGAGTTTATTCTGTTTTCATTGTGTTGTAGTTCAGCAAAGGAGGAAACAAGCCGGCCATCTGGATCGACACAGGGATTCACTCCAGAGAGTGGGTCTCTCAGGCCACCGGAGTGTGGACCGCCAACAAGGTGTGACAGGGTGACGAGTTAGAGCCAAAGACTGAATTAAAGTTCTCTTTTCTAGAGACTGTGAAAAAAAATAATACTTATACTTAGAGGAATAATATATGTTACAGTTGCATTCAAAATAAGTGCCGAAATGATATCTCAATAACAGAAAATGTAATTAATTTCACTGATTTATTTATAAGGACAACGTACATTAATCAACATAACTGTATTTCAGTCAGACAACTCACGTGTTTCTTAACATGTTTATTAGAAGCAGCATATAGTTTGAGTTTGGCGTCTAGGCTCGGGCCTCATCACTCCACAGATTTACAAAGAACATTGAGTGATGATTAGATAACTATCCCCCCCGAGCCTACAGGTGGAAGCTGGGGTGGAAGCTGGGGTGGTGGGGGGGCAGGCGAGCAGCAGCAACATGAAACACAGCAGCAGGAACATGAACGTAGCAATAGCAAGTGAACACAGCAGTGGCAGCAGCAGCATGAGCGAGGCAGAGGCAGGACGACCTGGCAGCTTAAATAGAGCGGCATGTTTAGGAGAACGTTTGGTTGGTTGTAAGAGGGACGAGGTGCGTCACGTGTTAATGTGCTCGAGTGGACTGCCTGAACTAGCTCGCAGGCTTCGCCCCATCAGTGCCATTGTGAGCCAGCTGGCGTAGTCCTTTGGAATATTTTGAGAAACAATAAACACACAATATCCATTATTCAGTACATGTAGCCTTTCCAAAAAACAACAAGAAGCTCCAGAAGACTGCCAAGTTTTTCTGATTATAAACACTTTGGACTGACTCATGTGGAGCAGCAACGTGCAATAGGACATCAATAAAATACTACGATTATAATCCAGGTCTTACAATTATAATTGATAATTTTTTATTGATTTTTTTTATTTGTTTAGGTCTTTTTCAATATTTCATTGTAATTTAAATACCTTTGTTCTATCCAGTTTTTAACTGTTGAACTTGGTTAAAACTATCTCTATCTTCTGACATTTTACAGTCAAACTATCAATCTGAAAACTAATCAGCATATTCATAGTTAATATAATATTTGGTTTTTAGCCATTATTGCTTTTATTGCTTTATAACAATATGGCAGTTGATAATTGCAACAAAAGCAAAACGTTATAATAATAATGCATGTACTATTGTTTCCAGACCAAACAAAACCTGTTAAATGGATTCCTTTCTTGCTTGTAAATAATCTTGTATTTTTAAGAATGAAAGGTTGCTTTCTTTTTTAAGAATGTTCTTTCTACAAAGTGAAAACCTGTTTTGCTCAGATTGCCACAGATTACGGTAGGGACGCCTCCCTGGCCTCCCTCCTGGACAACATGGACATTTACATGCTGATCCTCGCCAACCCCGACGGCTACGACTACACACACAACAACGTATGTCTATCAGTCCATAGACACATGTTGGTTTTGTAAAAACTGCTACATCTCCGCTTTTTCTTTCACGTTTTTCCTGTCGTGTATACAAAAAACATTATTTGGACATTTTAGCTGTAAGATGGATATTTGAGAGGGAGAAATAGTTGATGCATAGACCACTTTATTTAAATAGATATTTGTCTTTACAGTATGTCTCTGAAAACACACATTTTGCCTGACTGAATGTATCCGTGTGATGTTCAGAATCGTATGTGGCGTAAGACCCGCTCAGAGAACCCCGGCTCCATGTGCCGCGGAGTCGATCCCAACAGGAACTGGGATGCAGGCTTTGGTGGTATGTATAAAAAAAAGACTGTAAACGCTTGTACTTTGTGTTGTTTACGAACTAAACGTTGTACTACAAGAGGGGCAGCTTTGTCTGAAAACACTTTCTGTGGGGGAAACTTCTGAAGCAATTGGAGTCAGGACTCAGAAAGACACGAGGAGAGCTGGAGCTCTGATGGCAAACACTGACGGTTTATTTGGAGCTTCGGCCGGAGAATTCACAAGACATGTCACGAGTTGACCACACGGTTGAGATGCCACAATCAATTCTGAAGACCCCTCCTGTAGCTCCAGGTTCTAACTAGTTCAGAGTGTAATAATCAACATTCTTCAATAGATAGACTAAACAGCTGAGGACACGGAATCACATTTGTTATCGCTTACAGTATGGCTCGGGGTCATCTACACCCCGAGAAGGATGTGTTCCAGGTGTCCCACAACGATAACTATCTCTGACCGAGAGTTGCCCGGTCATAAACTGGTAACATCAACAATATGCTAGGGCAGCCCCTCCTTATGGGAGATAGCGGCTGCTCAAGGCTGGTCAGCTGCGTCAGAGGGCGAAGGAGGACATGCAGGGCAAATTATTCCCCAACACTTTCTAGACGTGATACACTCAGTATCCAATTTGAAGGTGGGATGCATGCCCATTGTTAACCTCTTATCCCCTCTCTACATTCCCCTGTAGCAGAGAGGCCTCAGGGTTTAGTTGAACATGTTATTCACCTGACACATTCATTCTTTACATGACTGGCTTTTGCAAGTTAGAATCTATGGCCCAGAAATATCAGTAACTGTGCTGTGCAGTGTTAAATCTTTGACACTGTCCATGGTGCTGAAGTAGTAGACATTACATGTTACTTGTTAGATGCTTTTATCCAAAGCAACTTACATACTCAATGCTGTGGACAATCCCCACAGGAGCAATTTGGGGTGAAGTGTCTCAGGGACACAACGACATGCTGACTGCAGTGGGGTTTGAACCTGTGCTCCCCTGATCCGAACACTAACGCACTAATCCACTGCGCCACAGCCTCCCTCCCTACTAGACAGAGAAAAGGTTGCAATTACTAAGTTTCCATCTGAGTCCTGCACTTCTGTCTTGGATATATACTGTTTTTAACACTAGTTAGTTTCCCGATATTGAACCAAAAGAGTAATTCATGGTGCGATTAGACGGTGTCAGGTGAATGGATTTATCAAGGCCTTTCCCCTCCGTGTTAGAAATGAACAAATCCCATCTCAACTTTTCACAATCTTCCACAATCAATACTAACATTTGAAAAACGTCCTGTTCCTAACAAGAAAAGGGATTGAAAATGGATTTTAAATGTTTTGGACACTACATATGATTTGCCTATTTACGTTTTTTTTTAAAGAAATGTCTGTTTAACTTTATGGTCATTCTGAAGGCTGCAGTTTGTGATGCTGTTGTTCCTTATTGAAACGGTTTATTCTCAGGAGTGTTTCCAATATTACGTCCACACCATGACCAGAATGAAGTTTGTAGGAACATTATAAACACTGTTTAACATAGTGCAATGCAATTCAGCTGCACCACAAATGACAAAATTAGTTAATACCTATAAACTATTGCATTAAAGCAGGGGTGTCAAACTCAAGGCCCGGGGGCCAAATCCGGCCCGTGACTTCATGTCATGCGGCCCCACAAGAGCTTGCAAAGAATATAATATGTTTATTATACGGTTACATGCAGATTTATAGAAGCAGGTTGCCCATAAACTACATGTCCCACAATGCATTCTTTTTTTAAATATGCTTTTTTTCTTAGAATTTGACTTTTTATCAGAATTAGATTTTTTTTTTCAAAATGTCACTGTTTTTACAGAATGTGGCTTTTCTTTTTAAATCATTTTGGGACATTCTTACTGAAGAGACTTGCAATTATTTGCCCTAGACTTCTGCTTTCAGACGTAGTTAATTATTAAGTGATTACCCTATCCCATAATAATCCAATGCAGAGGCAATAATGTAATATAATACATTATTTTATATATATTAAATATTTATATATGTATTTGTATATAGTCTTAAAGTTACAACCGGCCCTTTGAGTGCAACCTTAATGCTGATGTGGATGAAATTGAGTTTGACACCCCTGCATTAAAGTGTAACATCTTGCATTATTTTGTTACGGTGCCTCATGATGTGTTTTGTTTTTCCTCCCTCCAGGCCCCGGGGCCAGCAGTAACCCCTGCTCTGACTCCTACCACGGCCCCTCAGCTCACTCTGAGATTGAGGTGAAGAACGTGGTGAACTTCATCAAGAACCACGGCAACTTCAAGTCCTTCATCTCCGTCCACGCCTACTCCCAGCTGCTCATGTACCCGTACGGCTACTCCTGCAAGAACGCTGCCCATCAGGCTGAGCTGGTAAGACAAAGAGAAACAAGTCAAGAGTAAATTGTGAGGAGGCTCGTGGAAAATTCAATCTGACACCTTTTCACACTAGGAGCTGTCCATACAGGAGAGTAAAGACAGAGAGGAGGCTACATCTGTATCATTACCTTCTTTTAAACATCAATCTCTATGTTCATTCAATAATGATTTAAAAAGGCAATATCCTGCGTCATCATCCTAACAACTTAGGGTTACATTTTGTCATCTAATCACAGTATTATTGCTGAAAATTCAAATTATTTGCCCCAGGATTGATGCATTGACCAATTATAAACCCATCATTACTTATGACACATGATTTCCATTAACTCAGCCAAAAAAGCACTTTCTTTTAGCAATACTGCTTTAGGTTTTTTTGCATATTAACACTTAGAAACTGCCATTTGACCAAGAGTCTGCATATTTTAGCAAGCCCTCTGAGGATAATTAGTAGTTTGAGACTATTTAGATCAAATGTACTTGACTTATAACTCTGCAAGAGGAACTTTAGCACTTTGGATGTTCCTGATCATGCGGAAATGATCTCAAAGCTAAATCTGGCACTGTTACGCTTGACACATTTTTTATGTTTTAAGTGTTCATCACTGTGCATTGTCCCTGCCAAATAAACGATTAAATGAAAATGTTTTATTAATAATGAGTGAAATCCTCTTTTATACTAGCCTTTTTTCTTCGTCATGTCCCTGTATGCTTTAGTATTATCTCTACGTTCCTAACTACAGTCAGGGCCGGCCCGTAGCACTGGCGTTATAGATGATCTGGGGAGGTGCTGCGCTGGTAGCTCTGGGAGGGAAAACATTTTTTTTGACCGTTGGTGCTCATCCTAATTTTCGGCCTTGATGTAACAACATCATAATTAAGTAAATGTAACACCCTTTTCACCCCGATTTTCATTTGCCCTGTACGATGGGCGCTGTAAGTGATGAAAATGGGGGATGTTGGCTTATCAGGCGCCCGCAGCTCACAGCCAAAGTGCGAGTGAGCGTGGGAGCGAGCGAGGGAGAGAGGGAGAGAGAGAGAGGGCGCACCGGTACCGGCGCTGTTGTTATTAGAATCTGGTGCTAGCTGCGCTAACGGATATAACAAGAAGATGTTTCTACAATAATGTGGAGGGAGAGTCCTCTCCAGTCAGACTGAGAGGCTGATAACTACAGCTCAGTGAGGTGAAGGACTCTGAGTGTTTAGATAGTTCACTTTAGTCATCTCAGTGGGTCTCAAAGGTTTTGATCCCAATGTATGTAAACAAATATGTCCAAGGCACTCCTTTATAATTATTGGGATAAACAGGTTTGAAATCATTTCAATGTATACTAGGACAGTAAACCAAAAATATCGTTTAAAACTGGAGGGATAAAAAAATATGCATAAATAAATAAATGTTAACTAGGTAAAATAAGATATGAATGAACAGCAAAAATCTCACCTAGGGCAGCAAATTGTCTAGAGCCGGCCCTGACTACAGTATTGTGTTTTTGTTCTGTTCCCCACAGGATGCTATTGGCACAGCAGCAGTGAAGAAACTCACTTCCCTCCATGGCACCAGATACAAGGTTGGAAGCATCTGCAACATCATCTGTGAGTATCAGAGCATAATTTCTCACAAATACAGCCCTGTTTCCAGCTTTGTGACAAGCTGTTTTCCTGCTGATCCAAGAGGGGTTTGAAAAGTTTATCAAGCTTAAACAGAAGGAGAATTTTCTCTTAACATAAAGGAAAATCATCAACCTCAGAATCAGGATTTGGTTTATTGCCAAGTAGGTTTACTCATATAAGAAATGTGCTTTGGTTTATAATGGGGGCAAAACATGTGTTGTTTTAAAGAATGGTGTACAAAACAACATACATATACAAAACAAACACTAATAAAAATGTGTCAAATGACTGTAAAAAAATGATGTTCAGTATTTATCATGGCCCTTGTTGATGAGGCCAGTCGGTGTTCAAGGTTCAAGGCTTTTATTGGTCATGCGTACATAGCTACAGTGTAGTTATGACGATGAACATCTTAGGTCACAGGCTCATCCAACAGTGCAACATAATAACACAGAAAAAAACAGAAAAGTGCAAGTAAATACAAAAAGAAAAATAGTAAAAAAGTGGAATAGTGCAATAAGAGTCTATATGCAAGTGATTGAATATGATATATTAGATAAATAATTTCTAAATTGCAGCCAAATTAATGTGTGAGGAAGAAGCACTCAACACATGTGGAGATACACAGTTTTCAATGTGGGAAGGGGATTCAAAATTGTCATCTGAATAGTAACTAGCTGTCAGACAAATCGAGAATAAATAAAAATGTTTACCTATGAGATCTAGTAGAGTAGAAAGTTGCATAAAAAGGAAATATTCAGCTATAGTAGAAGTACGTTTTAAATGTCAGTACCTAAGTAAAAGTACTTAGTTTACTTCCATTTCACTACTCTTAAGAAAATATTTCACCATCCTGTCCTCTCCTCTTCCTCTCAGATCAAGCCAGCGGCGGCAGCATCGACTGGTCTTACGACGAAGGCATCAAGTACTCCTTCGCCTTTGAGCTGAGGGACACCGGTAACTCTGGTTTCCTCCTGCCGCCCACTCAGATCATCCCCACCGCCTCCGAGACCTGGCTGGCTCTCAAACACATCATGGAGTACGTCCGTGATCATCCTTATTGATCTCAGTAACATGAGAAAGGAGGATGTACATTAAAATGATTTGACACAGAATAAATGTCTCATCTTTCTTTGCTGATTTATGAACTTCTGTCTTCAACATTTAACAATAAAGTCATGAATATATAGTTTGTCTCTGTTTATGGCAGTCCTTTTTTATCTTTTCCATGTTATATAAACTGCAGGGTTCGTACGGTGCTGGAAATCCTTGAAAATGCTTGAAATTTCATGTGGTGTTTTCAAGGTTTGAAAAGTGCTTGGATTTTGGATAAAGTGCTTGAATTTTGGTTAAAGTACTTGAAATTGGACTTGTTTTACTTTTATAATAAATTGCTGTCTGACTGAATAGTTCGCTTTTTTCGATAAAAAAAAAGAGAAAGAAGTCTCCACTCCTTTTATACATATTTTGATATTTGAATCCTTCTTTTTTTCAGTTGCAGATTTTCCGTTTTCAGATTCCAAACAATGATTTTTTCAGTTTCAAATCTTGTTTTTTCAGGTTTCACCGTTTTTTTCGCTTTCAAACTTTTGGCCCTGATGTTGATTGGGGGGGCGGGGCTTACCAAAGAGTAGTTTTGCATCCTGAGTGACAGGCCTCCCTCTGTCATGCTGCCTTCATGGATGTAAGGTAGCGCGAGAAATATAACTCAACACTTTCTATATACACAATACTCCCGTGATTGGTGGGAAACCAAACTGATACCAGCGTCAAAGTTCCGTTAAGCGAGCTGTTGAGCATCGTAGTTCAGAATCAGATCAGAATCAGAAAACCTTTATTAGTCCCACAGAGGGGACATGTACGTTGTTACAGCAGAAAAGAGCCACTGACAGCTTAATGTTATATTACATGCAAACAAAAGTATTTAAAGTTAAAAAAAAGTTATATGATAAAAAAATTAGGGCTGTCAGTCGATTAAAATATTTAATCGCGATTAATCGCATGATTGTCCATAGTTAATCGCGATTAATCGCAAATTAATCGCACATTTTTTATCTGTTCTAAATGTACCTTAGAGGGATATCTTTCAAGTTTTTAATACTCTTATCAACATATGAGTGGACAAATATGCTTTATATGTTTGTTTATTATCATTTGAACAATGACAAATATTCTCATGAATATTAAACACAACAACCTCTGAACATTACAAATATTCGCTTCAATTCAACCTGGAACCTCTCTCATACAATAATAGTGTGTGTGTGTGTGTGTGTGTGTGTGTGTGTGTGTGTGTGTGTGTGTGTGTGTGTGTGTGTGTGTGTGTGTGTGTGTGTGTGTGTGTGTGTGTGTGTGTGTGTGTGTGTGTGTGTGTGTGTGTGTGTGTGTGTGGTGTGTGTGTGTGTGTGTGTGTGTGTGTGTGTGTGGAGCTCAAGGCATATGCTCCAACGGGAGCTGCCTGGATGCTGCAATCATGTTGCGCGTACTATCCGTGCTGAGTGTGCTGACTTTTCGTACAATGTCCCACTGTCTGGCTACCTGCATAAAGTCAAGTGCTCGGCGCAGTTGTCGGCGAAATGTCATTGAAACAGCTCCTTATATCCGTTAGCGCAGCTAGCTAGCACCAGATGCTAACAACAACAACACGTAAGGTGTGCCTCGCTCGCGCGAGTCGCGCCACACATACACACTCCCTCCCGGTCCTCCCGATGGCCAGTCCGGGCCTGCCAGTGAGCGTGGAAGTGTGGTCTGCCACAAGCGGGCGGCAGGAGCGGGGCTGTCAGCATCAGCTTGTCGATGGTATTTTAAACTCGATGCGCTCTGAAACTACGGCGGCCGAGGACAAAAAATACACATGCGTTAATCGCGTTAAAATAATTAGTGGCGTTAATTTTTTTTTGCGTTAACGCGTTATTAACGCGTTAACTTGACAGCCCTAAAAAAAATATAATAAAATGAAAAGTTATACAATTTACAAAATACACATCCTGTAACAGTTCTGAGGATTTAGCAGCCAGGTATATATCGCAGGTATATATTGCAGTTTTTAACGGCATAATATATATATATATACAGGGTTGGGTGAAGTGTTTTGCCCAAAATACCAAAATTACCTCATCTGCACTTTTCCCCATAAAAATTAATTTTAATCAATACTTTTAGATGTAAATGGTTTATTGTATCATTAGTCATTACTATGGGTCTCTGAAACAATCAGACTTTTAGCACTCTGTTCCCAGCAGAAACGACTTTAAACCATCAGTGTCACTATTGTGGGTATGTAGGAATGTACCTGTGTCTGGTGCGGAGCCTCCCTGCGCTTTAAATTAATTGATTTTCCTTTTTTTTATCGTATTTTCTGCTGTTAATGCACTGTGCTCATGTCGGGTGATGCGCTCCCTGGAGCCCTCCTGTGGGGAATCTTGGAACTGCACTTAAATCACTTAGTGCTTTTTAAGCCATTTAAAATAGTTTTTCTCACTTTTAAAATACTTTCTGCCCTAGAAATGATTTTTAACCAGTATTACCGTTATTTAGGGGCTGCATGCATGGGCGTAATTTCCACTGGGGACAGGGGGGACATGTCCCTATGGGCTCAGAACAGTCTCATAATACACACATGCACACAGAAGGATTCACACTTGTATTTCATGATCCGCAAAAGGATTCACACTTGTATTTCCGGATCCACACTTGTGTTTTTCAATGCACACACAAATGTGTTCCGTTTCATATTCATGTAAATAAAATCCAAATACAGAAAAAAGTTTTACATATGTATTTTTGATCCTCACATATTTGTTTTCCATTTAAAACCGCTGCACCTACAAACACAAACCGCTTTCTGTGCATTGATCGCTGTGCATTCGTGTGTGGGTTTTTTGAGACTCCCCTGTGACCCGATTCGTACTTGTAATTTTTTCTATCTATAGCCAATCAGATGTCTCCTCAATTCTAAGCCAATCACATGAGCGCGCCCCCACGAGGGTAGATTTCTTGCGTTCATGACGTAGCGCTTCATGTACGCATTTTGCGCTGTCCGGAGCTGACAGGTCCATGGAGCCTGCCTGCAGGCGCTAATCTCAGGACACCTCCACTCTCAGTACATTGCCACTTTCCGAGCAGGAAATGCACGCAAATACAAGCCTTTATATTATTAAGGTATAGTGCCACTTTCCGAACCATTAATGAATGTTTGTGTACACAAAAACGGCAGGCAAAACTGTTTTAAATGTGTGTTTCCTGTATGGCGAATACAGCTGCTTTATTTATGTCTGTATGAAGTTGTTGTGAGTGTGGAGGGAGCAGCTACAGGTTAGCTTAGCCTAATCGATCAGTGCACTACGAAGCCAGTGCTAGACAGTGAACTGTCAACGGGGGGAGCCCCGCCGGTCATTATCGGCCGATATTCACTCTTAATAGTTTGATCGGTGCTCTCTATAAAGGCCGATCAGGAGAGCTGGATCTGATCGATATGGACATAAACGCGAGTGAAGTTTTAGCGAGCTGCATGAGAAACTGACGGGTTGTCAGGAGAGAGGGAGGGAGAGAGGAAAAGAGATGATCCTTACTCCCGTGTTATTATCCGGTCATAGTCCGGAGACGCTGCTACACAATTATTATTATTGTTATTATTGAAACATGACCGTTAAGTTTCAAATTTGTCCGGTAAAATTAAATTCTGTCCGCGGAAACCCTGCTCCGGACTACGCAAAATGCGTATATGAAGTGACATGAACGCAAGAAATCTACCCTCGTGGGGGCGCGCTCATGTGATTGGCTTAGAATTGAGGAGACATCTGATTGGCTATAGATAGAAAAAATTACAAGTACGAATCGGGTGACCGTCAGGGGAGTCTCAAAAAACCCACACACGAATGCACAGCGATCCATGCACAGAAAGCGGTTTGTGTTTGCAGGTGCAGGGGATTTAAACGGAAAACAAATATGTGAGGATCAAAAATACATATGTAAAACTTTTTTCTGTATTTGGATTTTATTTACATGTATATGAAACGGAACACATTTGTGTGTGCATTGAAAAACACAAGTGTGGATCCGGAAATACAAGTGTGAAACATTTTGCAGATCATGAAATACAAGTGTGAATCCTTCTGTGTGCATGTGTGTATTATGAGACTGTTCTGAGCCCATATGTCCCCCCCACTTTTCAAAATCCCATTTGTGTCCCCCCCACTTTTTTTTCCTTTTTTTTTTACGCAAGCGGTCATCGTCACGGAGGAGCGTCTGTGTGTGTGTGTGGCACGAGCGCATCTTGTGAGAGAGATAGAAAGAGAGAGAGACAGAGAGAGAGAGACATAGAGAGTTACGGGGGTTGTTGTTAGCATTTGGTGCTAGCTCGGAGCTAATGGAGATTAGTAGCTGTTTCAACAATAAGGAGAGGGAGAGTCCTCTCCTGTCGGACTGAGAGAGATAACGTCAGCTCAGGGAGGTAAAGGACTCTCTGAGTGATTAGGTTGTAAACTTTAGTCTAGTTATCTCAGTGGGTCTCAAACGGTTTGGTCATCTATGTAAACAAATATTTCCATCTATGTAATATATAGTTGTATATAAAATAAGTTAAGAAATCCTTCCAATGTGTACTATAGGTCAGTACAAAAATAAAAAACACAGTTTGAAAGGGGAGTGATTAGTCAAATATGCATAAATAAAAAGAAAAAATGCAGACTAGGTAAGATAAAGATAGGAGAGAGGAGTTTATCAATGATTTGTTATTGGTTGTGAGCATATTCTAATGGCTTTTTGATTATTGAAATATATACAGTTCTGTTTCATATGTTGAGAACTGTATCCATAAATCTCTTAATGTTGCCCTCAAAGTGCACCAGATTGATGCATTCAACTTCAATTTAAAGAAACAAATCTTCCCGGGGTGCATGCCCCCGGACCCCCCTAGAGGATGTCAGGTAATCACAAATAAAACAGGTTCACATGGATAGGATACTAGATAAGTGTGCACATTATATACACTACACATTTTTCTTGGATTTGTTAACACTATAGTCCCTAATATATTTGTAGAAAGGCAGGAAATGGAATTAAATTGAGAAAATATTTCATTGCGGAGGACCCCCTGTTGTGTGTCCCCCCCACTTCTCAAACCAAAGTTACACCCTTGGCTGCATGTACACACATTTGAGCATCCCTGCACACTTTCCTCCTATTTAAAACACTTT